GATAGGTTTATAGAACAATATAATTTACTCAATGAAAGTCAGTATGGCTTTAGAAAAAATAGAGGAACTGCCCTAGCACTAACAGAAGTATTTGAGGATATAACCAACAGTATTGACCAAAAGCTATACTCTGTAGGAATATTTATAGACCTTAAAAAAGCGTTTGACACAATGAACCATCAAATACTACTGCAAAAAATGGAAAAATATGGCATTCGTGGAGTTGCACTGAACTGGGTCAAATCATACCTCTCAGACCGGAAACAGTATGTTCAACTGGAGGAATGCATGTCTGAAATGCAGAATATTACTTGCGGGGTGCCACAAGGATCGATTTTGGGTCCTATGTTGTTTTTATTATATATAAATGATCTCTGTTATACCTCTTCTAAACTGAAATTCATACTATTTGCTGACGATACAACGATTCTGTGTTCAGGAAAGGATTTACAGCTTCTTATGACGGAAATCTCAACAGAAATAAACAAGTTAAAACAATGGTTCGATAATAACAAACTGTCAATGAATATTAGGAAAACAAAAATGATGATTTTTGGGAAACGAATCAAAGACACTGAAGTAAAACTTAAAATCAACAATATGGAAATAGAGAGAGTTCACGAATGTAAATTTCTGGGTGTGATTTTAAGTCATAATGTAAGCTGGAAACCCCATATAACAAGCATACAATCAAAAATGGCAAAGAGTATATCGGTAATGTACAGAGCTAGACATCTGCTAAAATATAGAGCCTTACATATTATATATAGTTCTTTAATTCTCCCATATATCAGCTACTGTGCGGAGGTGTGGGGTAACACTTATAAAACTCATTTAGATCCACTTTTAAAACTTCAGAAAAAAGCCATAAGAATCGTTCATAACGTTGGTTTTAGGGACCATACAAATGAGTTGTTCTTAGCATCTCGTATAATGAAAATTGAAGACTTAATTAAATTTAAAACTCTTGTTGTATTATACAAAGCAAGTCGTGACCTTCTCCCTAGGAACACTCAGAAATTGTTCAGCAGTAGAGAAGGAACTTATAATTTAAGAGGAGAATTTGTGATGAGGAAACATTGTGTTCACACCACCCTCAAAAGTATGTGTATCTCCCAAGCAGGAATAACATTGTGGAATGACCTAAATAAAGACACAAAACAGAGCAAAACACTAGTACACTTTAAAAAAACATGTAAAGACATTATCTTTAAAAATTATGCTAGTGAAGTATCATAATTACTATTATTTTCACAGACAGGCACACAGTCGCGCTTTTTGTTGTTGTTATGGGGTTTGCCCGTATATGAGGATTGAGGTATTGTAGAGAGGGATGGAAAAAAAGAATAAAAAAAAAAATAATAATTATTAAAAACCGAACGTTTACACATGCATAAGTTCAATGCATTGAGTTTGTAAAAAATGTGTCGATTTCAGTCAGATGAAGTGATGTTGCAATATAATTGCTATACATATTAAATACCATATGGTGTATTTATTTTTGTAAAACTGTAAATGATAAATCCTTTATTTATTTTGTACGACTGTAAATGAAAAATCCTTTGTGATTTTTGTGTTACTTTAATGAGAAATAAGGGGTAGGTTTATTATAAGTTCTTTGAACTTCTTCCTACTCCTTTTGAGCACAATAGTCTTGTTTTGTTTTCTTCTGTAAAATGTTTTAAATAAGTTTCTGCTCAAATAAATAAATGAAGAAGAAGAAGAATCTCAAGATTTCATGACTGTAAACTATAAAGAGTGCTGTCTTGATCACTGAAGGTCTTTGAAAATAATACAATTCCATATGGCCGCGAACCAGTGCTAAAACATTATCTATAATCTGGATCAGGGAATTTATTTCTATCCCAAATTCATTTCATACTAAAGATATTTCACATTGACTGTTTATAGTATTCCCTGATCTCAAATAACTCCCAAGCTACAGCTTTTTGAAGTCTTTATACAACAATTAACATTTTCCAAAATGGCCGCCACCTTGATGACGTCACAATATGCAAATTAGATGACGAATCAACTTCCATCCCAAAGTTTGGTTCAAACTGAAGATATTTCTAATTTACAGTATGCATTTATCTCAAACCATTTTAAAGTTATAGCCTTTTGAAATCTTGAAATCAAAATTGTGTATTTTCTTGAAAAAACTCTGGCGCCTAAAGGGTTAAGAGGTTAAACGAGACTTGTTATGGATATCTTTGAGAAATGGCTTTCTTCTTGCCACTCTTCCATAAAGGCCAGATTTGTGCAGTGCACGACTGATTGTTGTCTTATGGACAGACTCTCCCACCTCAGCTGTAGTTATCTGCAGTTCATTCAGAGTGATCATGGGCCTCTTGGCTGAATCTCTGATCAGTCTTCTCCTTATTTGAGATGAAAGTTTGGAGGGACGGCCGGGTCTTGGTAGATTTGCAGTGGTCTGATACTCCTTCCATTTCAATATAATTGCTTGCACAGTGCTCCTTGAGATGTTTGGGAAATCTTTTTGTATCCAAATCCGGCTTTAAACTTCTCCACAACAGTATCTCGGACCTGCCTGGTGTGTTCCTTTGTCTTCATGGTTCTCTCTGCGCTTTAAACAGAACCCTGAGACTATCAAAGAGCAGGTGCATTTATACGGAGACTTGATTACACACAGGTGCATTCTATTTATCATCATCAGTCATTTAGGACAACATTGGATCATTCAAAGATCCTCACTGAACTTCTGGAGTGAGTTTTCTGCACTGAAAGTAAAGGGGCCGAATAATATTGCACGCCCCACTTTTCAGTTTTTTATTTGTTAAAAAAGTTTAAATGATCCAATAAATTTCGTTCCACTTCACGATTGTGTTCCACTTGTTGATTCATGACAAAAAATTAAAATTTAATATCTTTATGTTTAAAGCCTGAAATGTGGCGAAATGTTGAAAGGTTCAAGGGGGCCGAATACTTTCGCAAAGGCACTGTACTAGCCCCCGCATTATGTAAAGCAGCCATTCCCAAACTCAGTAACACCGAGGCCCCCTTAAAAATCTGACGGGTCTGCGTGGCCCCCCAAAATAATAACCAAGAAGACAACATTAAGAATAGGCTCTTCTGGTTATTTTATTTTGGGGAAATAGCCTCTGCTACAAACATTGTAATACAAAAATGATTACAGTGGATTATTCAAGTCAAATAATGAACACAAATATTTTAATATTACAAACAAAACATTATAAATTTAACATTAAATAATTATATTATTTTTTTTATGACCTCCCGCGGCCCCCCTGCAGTACCCTCGCGGCCCACAAGGGGGCCGCGGACCCCACTTTGGGAGACACTGATGTAAAGAATAAACATAATATCTGATGACCCACACACTGCATTTTTCTGAATTGCAGAGATTCTTTTTTTCCTAGAGATTTAAATCCTCTCCATTGTAAGTTCATTCAGAGAGACTTCCAAAAAGGTTTGCAAGTATGTGCGTTCATGACGTGTAGATGTAGAACTGATCGGTCTGTGATATGCAGTACCACTTGTATGTCTTCTCCCTTTGACAGGGAAGAGGAAACAACAAGAGTCCCAGCAGGGAGTTACGGATACATTGGTGCGAGGCCATGAAGAGACTGGTACACAAGAGTCTGTCCTCTTGTTACATGGTCCTTTTAACATAACTCATTGAGTGCCAGCCTTGTTTCAACAGCTTGGGTTTAGAATGCCAGTCATTATGTCGATTTTTCCTGATATTTGCAGAGCCACAGCACATTCTGTGTTACTGACATAAACACATGCTATAACTTTGAAAGGTGAAGCTTTGAACTTTCAGATGGTGAAAACCTTCCGTTCCTACCAGCTTTTGCCCCTGAGATATCCTAAGCAAAAGATGGGAAACTTTCATGAAAATTGCTGTGAATTTCCTAGAAAAGGAGATAGAGACCCTTTTATGAAATATGATATTTTGGGGGTGTAGTTCTTCTGACACATACATTTTCTGGGTCGACGGACATTTATAAGATAGATACGTATATCTTATAGGCGTGGGGTAGGCTACAAAAAACGCATTTATAAAGGAATAATTCAATCTATATGAATATTTATACCTCCTTTACAATGAACACTGGAGAGGAAATTTGATTCATATGAAGATTTATGGCAACAGCAACAACCACAATACGAACTTACAGTTAGAATATAAATTTTTATCTGTAGGAATATAATAAAAACATAAAAGGATCCTCCTTCGCTTCTTCGCAGACAGCGGCAGGAATACGCGACGGCTTACACGCGTCACTCTGTTGGTCCTGATTGGTCCCTATCCCTTACTATTCCGCTCAGGCCAGCCCATGGTGATCTTTCAGCCTGATCACCTGCCTTCTGAGCGCCTCCCTCCTGAGCACATTCCTCCTGTGCACGAGTTGACTCACTTCTTCGATGTAAAAAGCGCTCATCAAGCGTGTCTGGCGGATGCACAGACTTTTTTTGATACATTTTCTTCATCTCCGTCAGCAGCTAGCAAAACACTGCATCAGTGTGAGGTTTCCGCTTAAGGATGAATCAAGACCAGTGACAAACTCACGTAAATATATTTTTGACTTTGATCAGGATCACTATATGAAGCAAACCAGTAACCACTCAAAGCTGCGTTATGAACAATAAACGCATGTTAAAGTGTTTAATGAGTTTTAGATCGTCATATAAGCAGTTAAATTTATCATAGCATTCCCAAATTTACACACAATGTGTGTCAGGGTGTCTACTTTTAAAATGTAGAAAAAAAAGCCTTTCCGTAAAATTACGTTTGTGGCACTCAACGCATGGGGGCACTGTACGTAAAATTACGTTTGTGGTACTCAATGAGTTGATTAGTCAGCCAATCACATAGTGCTTATAATGAACGTGACACATTTTTAAAGCATTTGTGCAAAAACAACATAGAAAACAATGATCATTGTGTATTCAGTAGCTTCTTCTGTTCCTGCTGTTATTGTTGCCGTGTCTGAGCAATCTTCCATTTGCAGGTGTACCCGGTGAGCACCACAGGGGGTCTGGTCAGTGAGTATGCCTTCATCCGGACTGGACTGCTGGGCTTCATTGGGCCTGGAGGTCTCGTCTTCATCACAGGGAAGATGGACGGCCTCATCATGGTCAGTGGCAGAAGGCACAACGCAGACGACATCGTGGCTACAGCGCTCGCTGTGGAGCCCATGAAGTTTGTCTACAGAGGGAGGTGAGCGGAAGAGCCTGGGGTAGAGGAAGGAGGTGAGCGGAAGAGCCTGGGGTAGAGGAGGGAGGGTGCAGAGCTAGGACTGTGTGGGATAGACCCATCTCAGTCCCCGATAACAAGAGTTCCTGATCATAAGAGTTGATGTGAGAATTATAACGCTGGCACACACCAAAATATAACAACACAAAATATCACAGAACATTAAAAGGAAAGAAAAATATAAAATCCCTCAATTGTATGCACAGCTAAACAGCACTGTTTTAACCTGGTTTTAACCATTGTCAGAGAGGAGGCCTGTCTCACATCTTCAGGAAGATTGTTCCAGATTTTAGCAGCAGTCAGGACTCGAGCTGCTGCATTTTGAATGTACTGCAGCTGTTTTACAGCCTGTTTGGACAGACCTGTGAGCAGGCCATTGCAGTAGTCTAACCTACTGGAGACAAATGCATGAATAAGAATCTCCAAGTCTGCTTTAGACACTATGTTTTTGATCAATTTTTTTTGCAATGTTTTTTAGATGGTAAAAAGCTGCTGATGTTACTGATTTGAAGTGGCTATTAAAATTTAAGTCTGAGTCCATTATTACCCCTAGATTTCTGACCTTGTTTGAAGGTTTTAGGGAGAGAGACTGGAGGTGACAGATGACGCTCTCTCTTTGTTTCTGGGGACCAAAAACAATCATTTCAGTTTTGTTTGCGTTTATCTGAAGGAAGTTATTTTGCATCCACTCACTGATCTGTTGGATACAGTGAAGGAGTGAGTCCACTGGTCCATGTTCTCCTGCAGTCAGTGAGACATAGATCTGAGTGTCGTCTGCATAGTTGTGATAGGACACTTAGTTTCTGCGTATTAACTGACCTAACGGCAGCATGTAGAGATTGAACAGAAGAGGTCCCAGGATCGACCCCTGTGGTACTCCACAGGTCAGGGCCATATGATCTGAGACACAGTTTCCAATCTCCACAAAGTACTTCCTGTCCTCAAGGTAAGACCTAAACCAACTTAAACAACGTTTATAAATAAAGCTTACTTACTTACTTACTTAGAGCGATACCAGCGACGCCAACCCAGTCCTCTAGTCTCTGTAAGAGGATCTCATGGTCGACAGTGTCAAAGGCAGCACTCAGATCTAACAGGATTAGGATTGAGACTTTGCCTGCGTCAGTGTTCAACCGGATATCGATTGTTACCTTGACGAGAGCAGTCTCAGTGCTGTGGTGGGGTCTAAAGCCGGACTGAAACATATCAAATGGGTTGTTGAAGAAATCTATTTAGCTGTTGGTAGACAACTTTTTCAAGGACTTTCCCCATAAATGGCAGATTTGAGATGGGACGATAGTTGTTAAGTACCGTGGCATCCAGGCTGCTCTTTTTTAGCAGGGGCCTGATGACTGCAGTTTTCAGGGCCTTTGGGAATATTCCAGAATGAAGGGACATGTTTACTATCTGTGCGAGTGAAGGTAACAGACTGCTCAGAACAGACTTTAGAAATCTAGTGGGTAGTACATCCAGGCTGCATGTGGAGGAGCTCAGACTGGAGATTATCTCTCGGACAGTTTGAACATTTACAGGTGCAAAGTAAGTTAGCTCAAAGAGCCTTTCTGGCTGTTGGATGGTTATCTGTGGATTGGAGACAATAGCGTTTTTGATGCCTTGAACCTTGTGCAAACTCATTACATTTACGTTTGGAAGTAGGCTCTAATGTCAGCTGAACAGGGGGGTTCGTTAATCTATTAACTGTCCAATCATTGTAAAACCTGCTGCTCCTCCTGCTGATGTTTAGACACAAGTGCTGTGTGTGTGCAGATGTGATCTAAAGCCAAGGACCGCTAGAAAAATCATGTTTTACATGAGATTTCAATGGGAGACGCGTTGGTGCGCGCACAAAGTTAGAAATCCATCCTAAATTAGAGCGCAGCTTCGCGTCAGACGTCCGTCATACACGCGTATAACGCTAGAAGTGTAAATATCATCATAGGTTAACATGAAAAAAAGTTACGCGCGTCTGCTGTGCGTATAACGCGTACGTGCTGTAAAGCGTGATGTGTAAATTAGCAGTTAGAAAACATATGGGATACATGGGTATTTCTGGGATTATAATCGGCCGATCACGGCTTAATTTGCCTGATCGGTGATCGGTGAAATGTGCCAATCAGATGATATGAGGATTCATGCGCACAAGTTACTTTCTCTCGTCAAAATTGCTTAAACAAGCAACTCATGCAACTATCAGTAACAGAGATTCTACAGCGGCAACAACCACACAGTAATGACGTAAGAAACAACATGAAATATGCATGAAAGTTATGGAATTTATTTCCCTCTGCCACCAGCCCTTGTCTTTTGCGGAAAGCGCTGGGTTGAAATGCCATCGCGGAACTATTTGACTGATGTCTGCCTGCCGCAGCTTTACCAAACTGTATATTCTCACATTGACACTCCAAGCTCAGCCAGAGCATGGAGCTATTATAATAACGAGCCAGAGTCACACCGCGCAGACACCAAACACGCTCAGCAGCGAGATGCTGAACTCATCCCGTGTCGGGACTTTGCATGTTATGTTCACAGACATGTTGGATTAAGATGAGTGTAGTGGTAGTACAGACAGTCCAGTGTCGCAGATGCAGCGTTACTGGAAAACTACGTAGTTACGCCTCGGAGCTGTCAGCAGCTTATTGAAAGGAAAATAAAAAGCGCTTCCCTGCATTGGCCAAAGCAGCGCTTGCTTTCCTCTGCGCTCCATGCACAAGTGTAGACAGTGAGCGGCTGTGTAGCGCAGCGGGACTATTCAGGATGATAAACGTAATAAACTAACCCCTGCAAATGCTGAGATGCTAATATTACTGAAGAAAAAACATTGCCTTAACTCTCTTTTTAATCAGTTTAGAAATGCAACCTATACAGTATTGCAGTATTTCATAGCATTTTTTTTTCACGTATCTCAATGCTCTGTAACGTATACTTGTGGTTCCCAACCTTTTTGTCTTGAGTACCCCTAGGGCATTTTATTTATACTATCTAATACCTTGATGGTTTTGAAAGATTAGTTATAAAGTGAATAACTAGTCCTATTCATTTATCAATAATATTATCAATATTTGATCGGATAAGCAATGATCGGTATCGGCAGATCAACATTTTAATGATCGGTGATCGGCCAAAAAATTCCTGATCGGTGCACCTCTATTTTATAAGCCACACTCAAACAGGGTACTGGTTTAAGGACCAGGGTATTGTTACATTGTTGGACTTGGTGTGTGTGTGTGTGTGTGTGTGTGTCTGTGAGATACACGATTATTTTTTTAAACGATTAATTTTTTCAGTTTGATTACCGATGATCCCCCCATTAATTGACTAATATCAATGTATACATTGTGTGTTGATTTACATATCTGAATGAAAAAACATGAATTCCTTAACAAAATTATATATTGCTTTTAAAATTCAAATTCAAAAAAGTAATGAAAATAAACATTTATAATTCAACAGTTATGTTGAACATAGGCCTAGCTTACTTAAAAAAAAATCTTCATTCACAAATAACATCTTACGCTGACACTTTCCTTTTGCCTTAAAGAACGTCTCACCCCCGCTGCCTTCAAGGCCTACGTCACTCACATTCTCTCTTAGATGTATTGTGCTGTGGTGTTGGTTTCCCAAAAACCCCGGTTAGCTTACCGTGTATTTTGCTATTAAGTTCGTGGATTATACTCCGTAAACCGCAAACAGCTGGAGAGATGCAGCTATCACCGTAATCGCAGTAATAAGTGATTCTGTTTACCGGTAAATATCAACCTCCGCGGCGAACGTCATTACCCGCCGACTGCGAGGATATCCCGCTCATTTTTTTTCAGGAAGAGTCCAGACTATCGGTGGCCCCACTCTGCTCAATATTCGTCAACTTTATTAATTCATATCTAGGAAATAAAGGAATCTTCAGAACATTCCACACATTTATGGGATTCTATGAATAAAATATGTCTTATTGATTCGTTGGTTGGTTAGCTTATATTCATGATATTTGCTGCTCAGTAAATCAAATGAACTAAGTGAGTAAGACCGCCGACCTCTTTTTCACCACACGCGTTGCCTCAGGCGCAGCGTTTCCCTGTGGTCTTGCCTTGCTAATTTAAAAGTAATGAGGCCCTGCTTCCTGGCCTCTGGCTGTGAGGCCCACCACCGTCATCAGTCTCGGTGCTGCCTCTGTGTAGATCACACGTCTGTCTCGGACTGGGTGTTCCTCGAGGCTTTAAGGGGGTGTAGGAAGGAGCGATCCTGTTTGTCCCGCATGTTTTTTTGTTTAACGCATCCTGCGCCGAATTGCAAATTGTTACTCAGGGGACTTCCCATGCATACCGTAGGCGCACATATATAATAATATATAGGGATCAGGAGCTTTCTGTCGACGACCCACACGCACCATGACATGGATCATATTTCTTGAGCATCCCAACCCGCCCGAAACCAGCGGGACCCGAGGGTGGACTGCGGGTTTCGGGCCGGACACCCGCGCACCTCGCATGTCCTGTTAGGGCTGCAGGAGCATTTGTTCCTCCATTATTTTAATGGGACTTTGGTCCATGCACACTGTAAAAAAGATAAAGTTAGTTCACTCAAAATTTCCAAAGCAACCAGGCTGCGCAAGGTTTTTGAGTTGAAGGCATTAATTAATTCTTCATAGTTTTGAAAGAAACACACTTATTATGTTGTGACAGTTATGTTTCCAAGTTTGCCACTAAGTGTTTTAAATTCATTACTGGAAATTTCAAGTCTGTAAAACTTATTTTTTTAAGTTCAGATTACTGTCCCTACAATAACTTACCTAATTTGTGTTTAAATTTAGCCCCACCATTTAAAGATCCTGATGTTTATTTTATTATTGCGTTTCAAGGACCAGGTCCCTTGGGTAGGGGAAAACCGGAGCACCCGGAGGAAACCTATGCAGACACGAGAACATGCCAATTCCCACACAGAAAGGCCTGTCCGACCGGGATTCGAACCCA